GAAAGTTGGAGATCATGGCTCTCCACAACTTCCTATCTTTTGTAACTCTTACTAAGGTTTGTCTTTTTGTTATCTCTTCTAATCCCAATTCTTCCAATCATTTAAACAAGCTTGTTAGGTAAGTTATTTGCTGCTTTCCTTTGTTCCTCTTGTCTTCAATATGTTCTGTGAATGTCCAATTCACCAAGCACACTTTTCTCATTATCTCTGATTGCAAATATATAATATTCTCATCATCCTTCTGTAGAACCGAATTTCTGTTGCCTCAAGTTTCTTCATCTATCAGATTATCCAACATTCACTGCCATAGAGGAAGACTGATATTATATAAGTTTAGTACTCTCTTCTTTGTTTCAAAAGTGTACCCTATTGCAATTTGGGGGCTGCTTCGGCTGATATCACCAATATGTTTTTTAAACAAATATCTCTAAACTTTCATTTGGTTTAATGATTACCTGTTTTTAAATGACATGTCCATTCAAATCATGGCTTTCCGCAGACTCCTTCTCCTTTATTATTTATGAATTGTCATAACCACTTCGTCCCCAGCCCCTCAACCTCCAGTGTCTTCCTCTTTGGATTGAGGTGTCCACTCGGTCTGAACCAAACTTAGGGTTAACTGGCCATATGCTCCCTGAGTACCCGTAGATTATTTTGACCGGTCAACTAGTCAAGTCCTGCTCACTGCCCACGCTGTGTTAGTTTTTAGATCCAGTAAGCGGGGTGTTGTCCATACATTCATGGTTGACTAGGGATGTGGACACGGCTGTGAGAGTTGGTGCTAGGAAGTTTAGAATGTGGCAAAATAAAACAAGAAATAATATCTGCAGAAGCCAGACAACAATGGGGGAAATATTGATGTCTTTTATATAAGAAGATAACATCAGAACAGAGGTTACAGGGAGAATAAAAACATTTAACATAAATGAGGAAAGAAAAAGAAAAAGACAAAATGTATCCACCGAATTCCCAACAGAGAGAAGGTTATAAGTCATGGCAATTATGTGTGAAAAATAATATCAACCAAATATCTACCAAGGCTTTGGCAACACACTTCCACTCAATGATAAAAATTTTTGATGACGTCTCTGCATAGTTGCTAATTGATCTCACCAATATGCCTTATTATCTCATCCTTCAGCTGTTGAATTATTGTTGGTGTTTTGGCATAGACTTTACTTTTGAGATGACCCCAAAGGAAGAAATCTAAAGGCGTCAAGTCGCATAATCCTGGTGGTCAATTGACTTCGCTGTTTCGAGATGTGACCTGGGAACTTTTCATTCAAATTCTATTTGAACATCCATTTTCCTAATAGGCTTCGATAACTTTAACACATTGTTTGATTGTTAATCTTTCCATGGTTGAAATTGCTAAAGACTTAAGTTGTTAAATCTGAAAGAAAAAGAAAAAAATCATTAGATGCTTAAACTTAATTCACATTTAAAATTGGTCCAAGTTATTGGAACACCCTTATAAAAGGTTGAGGGTTAAAATGTTTGACCTGACCCCTTTCCCAAAATCTGATCAAATGACCAATCAAGCTTCTTTTGTAAAGTATCCTTGGTCAGGCCAAGAACCCATCAGCACCTGTGTGTGTGTGTATGTGCGCAACAATAGATAGGTAACATAAATGCAATTCTAATGGATTGACTCCAAAAATGTATTGGAAATCAAGAGAAAGGGATTGTCAGTGGGTAGCATTTAATGCAATCATTATGAATAGAATAGTGTTGTTATATGATCAGAATAGGGTTATTACACTGTTTGTTTTTAATAAACCATGTCCTTTAATTATGTTAGGATTTGTAGCTCCCCACAGTTTTATTTTTTTTAATGTCTATAATTGTGAATCGTCATGGCTGTTTTGGGAAAAGTTTGTTTAGTAGTTTCCCATTGCTTTCTCAAGAGTTTGCAATTTAATTGTTCTCCAAGACTTGATCATTGATCTGAGAAAGCAGTTGTATACAGTTAACAGTTTAGATATTTCTGAACATGATCATGCCTAACTAGTTGGGTGTTATGCATAAATAGGTTAACTAAAGAAAAGAATAGTACTATCACATGTGTAGAAGAAAATGCTTTGAAATTCCTTCCCCATTACAAGGAAAAAAGAAAAATGAGAGTTGTAAAAAGAGATCATGTAAAAGTAAAACCCAGGAAGAAACATAGTTATTTAACTTTTCCCATCAGTTTTTCCTTCAAGAAAGAAATTGGATATTCTTTTCATGTATTTTTTTCTCTCTTGCTATTTTTTTTTCTTTTAAGTTTTCTTCAAATAGTCTTCCAAGTGTGCTTGCTCATCTAAAAACTGGTCTTCATGGCCATAAATAATGTTATGATCTGCATCGTGTCTGGAATAGGCATGGATTTTTCACCAACGCCAAAAGTTGGTGAACATTGTAAAAACAAAACAAGGATTTCAAACAGTGATTTTCAAGGAGGATAAATAGACTCTTAGCCTCTTGAGAAATTGGTGCAATACAGTCTTCCTGACCATATTTACTTTAATTTAGTTTTGTACTGTACTAAGCTAAACTTCATAGATATCAGTAACTCAGGTTGTGGCCCTAAGAATTTCTTTTCAGAATTATATTACCAAATGGATAATGTGTAGGTAATGTTATTACTTAGATTCATATCTGAATTGTACATATAATAAGATACATGTATCAAACACCATTTTATATATATATATATATATATATATATATTGTTGTAGCATACCTACAGACGATAATGGATATACCCCCATTCCCATAAATGCAGTAGTGAATACTGTACATGGTCTAGAGTTGGAGATTCATTGTGGAATTCACTCGACTCACTTCTACGGACCATTGGCAATTCTTACATGTGTTGTTCTTGTCCTAAGTGTTATTGTCCATTACCAACCTTCGTTTGATTATTCTGTTCACTAACCTTCCTTAGGTTTCAACAGTTAGATATATATATATATATATATATATATACACACACACACACACAAACATGATGATGATTTATTTCTCAATAAACCAAGAAGAAATTCAATAAATCGAATTTTTTTGGTTGTGCCATTTGACTTGACTGTAGTAAATAAGTCCACCTGAGAACTTTTCAGCACTTCTCATATATATATATATATATATATACACACAAAAAAAAACTATTAGCCAATGCATTTCATCTTCTGAGGGACTTTATTAAGGCAAATATAGGATTTATTCTGTTTCACATGTTTATATACAAGTGCAAAACATGTTGCCTAAGAGTAATTTTTCCTCTTGTTTTTTGTTCATTTTGTTCTTTTACAGATACACTCTGAGAACAAATATATATATATATATAATGAAAATACATTTTTAACATGTTATATTTATGGGTAAAAGTGCTCAGTATCAGAGCATATGTAAATATAGAAGTAGACACCAAGGTCAAGACCTAGGGGCAACAGTCTGTATCACATTTCAACACAATCTTCAAGCTATATATATATATATATATATATATATATCCTACAATTAGAATTAAGATACCATGAGTTAATGACCATATATATATAGAGAAAGAGAAAGAATTAATACAAGTAAAACTTTTGGCACTTAACTGATTGATGTTACCTTCAGCACCCTGACTCCAGAGTTTCATAGACAAACCCTCCATGAATCACTCTGTCTACTTTTATCATTTTGGCTGTGGTAGTAACAACTTTTATGATAGGTACAGATTATTGACATGAAGAGGTGAAATACTTTGGAAACATTTTCAAAATTCTCTGGTACCCTAATTATCTTATATTCAATGCAAAACAAAAGGCCCATAAAATATTCCAAAACAAAAAACGGCCCCTCCTGAGAAACCAAATGAATCAAAAACAGATATTATCCTCTTACAAATTCTATCACATCTACAATCAAAAAGAATCTATCTAAACTCAACATAAAAGTTGTTACTACTACATCCAAAACAAAAGACTTAGTAAATACTAAACAAAACAATAAGTTAAAACCTAAAGGTGTTTAATCCATCGCTTGTAATATATATATATATATATATATATATATAAATAATAAAATTATTGGTAATCTGTATGGAATTTCCAAGAGGACATAGACCTGTTGAGAGCTCTATGTCAAAAGACAAAGCCAAAATTATTATATAATAACAAACAAACATAACCATAGGTGATATTTTATTTCATTGTTTCATTGAAGTCGATAAACCATGGCTTCAAATCTTCAGACCTGTAAACCAAATAAAAATGGAAAAATTTAGTCTAGGTTTAAAAATTAAGAATAGTGATTTTATATAGAGAGTAAGGGAAAGAAAGATATTAAGTTATCATCATGTAGGAATTGAGGAAAGGAAACGGTGTGTCGTCTCATTTTATTAAAACACGTGATGACGTAAATTGACATCCAGATTGTAGTCAAAAATCATTACATGAAATTGGCAATTAAGAATAATTTGGAAAAAGATTTTAAGTGTAAATTTGAAAATCTGTCTAGATCCTTACTCGGTTAAGATTTTGACACATATATATTCAACTTAAAAAAACCTGTTACAATTTATATTAAAAAATAGTGGTTGTCTAAGAACGTTGAAAAATATTCAGAAGCTAGCTAAAGATTTCAATTTAAATGTAAAACATCTATTCAAAAAAAAAATAAAAACTATATATAAATATATATATATATATATATATGTGTGTGTGTGTGTTTATATGCACACACACACACGTATATGGTGTATTTGGGTAGCAACTCTTAATTTACATGTGTTTAATTGATGACTAATTTGAGATAAGACTTTTTTATAATGAATTCTTGATGTGTTAGTTTATGTTTATATACATTGTAATAACACGTCTTGAAACATGCTATTTGTTTGTCATATCTATTGATACAATACTTCATAATAGGCTGGTGTTTGTCATATTACTGGTAGGACCATTGAAATTACAACTCAAACATCTTTAGTTAACTCACCTCCAGAAGAGTGAGCCTTACAGCCATTTAATGTTGGAACACCAGTTCTCATACAATCACTGAAGTTATTCGCTGTCAAGCCTGGTCAGTATCTGGATGGGTGACCGCTTGGAAATACCAGGTGCTGTAAGGTGCTGTTGGTATAATAGATAATGGCTAGGAATTGTTAATCAGAGAACTGAGTTTCAGTTCCAGTTGGTCTCATTATATTCACTTATACACAAATACCCTTCGGAAAGGTATGAATCCACCTCTTCTCCCCCTGGCTATGTGTTAATTAGTAAGACTTGTATCATTAAACTATTATCTCAAAAAAAAAAAAAAATTCTGATAATTTAAAATCAAATTTTTTTTCTGATTTTAAATATCCTGCAAAGGTTTGATAACCCATAAAAAGGAATCAATGAATCATATGAATATTTTTAAAAAATGAAAACCAAATTCATTTAAATATTCTTGTCCTATTTAAAATACATACAGAAATGCATTAAATATTAAAAAAAAAAAACATTAAAACCAGTCTTCTGCATTAATTCATAATAAATATATCTTTTTTTTTTAATCTAGATGTGGCTATAAATTCTATTCTAACAGTTTCTTTTCTCACACTTCTTACTTGTGGAACTTCCTTCCAGCTCCATGCTTTCCAGCCAACTTTAATCTGCAAAAAATTAAATGCAATGTCAATTGATATCTAATGTCCTATTCATTACTCTTTCCTCCTACCATTCATTATTAATGTTTATGTTCCTAATTTTTCCACACCCTGTAACCCATTGTGTCTTAGCGGCTTTACTGCCTTGCATGGGGTGATACCAGTTAAAAAAAAGAAAGAAGAAAAATTGTTTTTAAATATTCATAGAATAAAGCCAAAATATTAAGCAATATTATAACACAAAGACTTAAGTGAGGAATGTAGAAAAAATAGTATTTCTTCTCCTAACTTAATAAGAATTGAATTAACTACTGTAATTTTAAAAAATTATATTTAATTTACAAAAGTAAAAAGTTATCTTCCTTTTTTTGGTGAAGTGAAACATTCAAAATAGTGAAAATTTGATTTAATGCATGCAGGAAGGCCAGTTTTCAGGCTAATGAAATTTGCTGGACACCTTCTACAGGTTGCCCTTGCTGCTTTTGTCCAAGTTTAAATTGGACAACAGACAAGCTCCTTAAATCAAGGCCACTATTTTAATTTCACTCATGCCTTCTGAAAGTGATCTGGTAGTAATTTATATGTAGGCTTCATGTTATTGAAAATACTTATAAACCATGACCATTCAAACAGTTTATCTTTTTACTTTTACTTTAAATCAAAAAGGTTTACTTGTTACATTTTATTCGAACCGTTTTTCTTTAAAACCAAAGTATTTATTTGTTATTTTTTATTCGAAAAATTTATCCAATTGTTTTTAACCAAAATATGTCACCCAGTGTTCACTCATTTTGAATGTAAAAAACATTTGCCACCAGCCTGTACAATCCATTTCTTTAAAACAAAAGAGTTTATTTATCTTTTATTCAAAGGATTTATCTTTTCTTTAAAATTAAATGATTTGTTTTATCTTTTATTTAACAGGTTTATTCTTTCTTTAAAACCCAAATTTTTTTTATTGTTTATTCAACAGCTTTAAAAGCAAGAAAAAAAAGAAAATGCAGAAAAATATACCAATTTTTTTTGTTGATTGATTTTTATTTATTTTTTTAAATTTTTTTTTTTTTAATTAATTTTATCTAATATTTATTTCAGGCTGAGTCCAAGAATTAATTTTTATCCAGTTTAAAAACAGTGAATTATCATAAAATACCACAGCAAATTTATACATAACTGATACACCACCACTGAAGCAAGGAACATCATATCAAAAATTGAGAAGTCAGTTTCAAGTAAATAGTCTTCAGGAGAGGCACCAGAGTCTGGACCAGTAAGATCTCACTCTTGAATTCATTTATTCTGATAAGGAATAATTCCGTCCATTTACTGATCCTTGCTGCTAACCATTTTCATATTATTGTTTATCTTCTAATATTATTAACATGTAACGTATTAAGCAGTTCTTTTTGTGTTGCCTATATCTGACGAGTTTCTCTTTTAGTTTGAAATAGAAAGTAGGGGACAAGTATAGTTACCTCAACTGTTTATAACTCTTATTGTCTGTTGTCAATGACTATCTGTACTTTTTACTCATCACAAGAAAGTAAAAACAAAAAAGAACTGCGCAAACTCCATTAACCTTCAGGTTAATAGGATTGGTGTTTTTTCTTGGGAAAAATAATTGATGACAAAATTCCAAAAAATCTAGTCTTTTTCTTTCTTTTCCTCCTCAATTTTTCTTTTTCTTCTTTCTTTTTTGTTCTTTTTCTTTTTTCTCCTTTTTCTTTTTTTCTCTCTAGTTTTTCTTCTCTCTCTCTCTCTTTTTTTTTTTTAAATCTTTACTTTTATCTCTCTTAAGTACAATATTGCTAGTAATATCAAACTGAACATCCACCAAATCTGAAGCTAAAATTTGTTCATGTCTTGAAAGATTTATTTTCACAAATTTTTCAGGAGAGGGATTTTGATTTCAAGTGAGATAAATTCTTGTGTTAAATTTTGAACTTATAAAATCTATGATACCCAAGAGGTGAAAAAAAAATGTTTATCATTTTTACCTCTTTAGTGAAAATTAAAACATTTGTACAATTTTTATATAACATATGTCCTGAAAAGAAAAAAAAAACGAGCACGAGAAATTATATAAAAGACTAGACCATTAAGTAAAAATGTTAGCACCATAAGCTGACATATTTGGACAAAGATCGAAACCACAGTCTTCCATGCCTTCTGCCTCCTGTAAGTCTATTTATTTACCAACATGTTAAATTGCTGACCAAACCTTTTTGTGTTCCTACGTTCACTGATCTTCTTCTTTTCTTTAAAAAATGGAAAAGAAAATAAGTTAATTTTTTAATTCTGAAATAAAACGTTGCAATTTTCTATTTTTTGTTTTTCTTTTTTATTGTTTGTTTTAAGTATATCTGTTTATCCATCTGTCTGAGGTAAGTTTGATTGGTAATTACTTTAAGCTTGAGTTTATGATTCCCTGTGGTCTCTGTAAGAGTTGTGGGCGAGATGAAAAAATCTCAGCTCAATAAAGAATTAAAAAAAAAAAGAAAGAAATTCCTGTTGTTTTGTCATTTCATCAGATTTGGGAAAGTTTAGACCTTTCAGTACCAGCCCATTAGATAAAAATGTTCTAGCTTAATAGATTAAATAAAGGATTTGATACAGTACAACTGTAACAACCAAATCACTATCTTCTAAATAAATAAACAACAAATTTTGTCTGTCCATCCATGTGTCTGAAACCTCTCTAATTCAGCCCACACTTGCTCTACATAGATATATTGTACCTTTTTGAATCAGGATGATACTGGAATTAAAATCTGCCCTTTATCTGGTGCTTGAACATCCAGCATTGGGATTTTTGTCCAGATGAGGAGGGAAGAGTTAAAAATTCAAATTTTTAAATGATTGAAAAAATTAGTGATTTAACTTTAAAGTAACACAAAAACTTTGTGAATTTAAATTTTTTTGTATCAAATTCAGTTTAAAATATCTCCAAAACTTTGTGAATTGAGGAAATCAATTTTATTCCTTCAAAATGCCAAGGAATCAGAGTTAAAGTGAGAGGTTTCATGGCATGAGATTTTGAAGTTCTGCAGAGTTATTTGAAGAACTCAACTCAATTGAAATTCCACAGAGTTTGTGATTTGAAGAACTCCATTTTCGGCTGGAAATTGGAATTTCAGCCCAAATTGGACTTTTGGCCAGAATTGGACCTCACTTTACCTCTGATTTGGGCTATGAGTCCAAATCAGAGTTAAAGTGAGGTTTTAAAATTCCATGGAGTGAATTGATGAATTCAAAGTTATTTCTTAAAAATTATCATTGCTGTTTTCTAAACTGGACCAGAAGTTCCTTTAATTTTAGGATGGAGGCCCAATTAACTCTCTACAGCTTATAAAAGCTGCACTCAGAGTGCAGCTTTTAAGCTAGTTTCAAATAAATCAATGACTCAAAATTCCTCATTTCAAGAATTATCTTTCTTCCCTCTCTCACACACACACACACACACTCTCTCTCTCTCTCTCTCTACATATATATATATATATATTGCAAATAGCAGCACACACTTGATTCAAATGGCTTGTGAGTCAGATGTCAGATAGCATTTAATAGATAACCCAGGATGTGCTGTCAAGTACACGGATACAGCATTTACCATTTTCTGCAGAACCAAACCAAACCAAACACTTGCAAATCTGGTAGGCACTGTATATAAAGTTAGATCGATTGTCTTTGTGTAGACAAAAATAAAATTTTATTCATTCTCTGTTTTTGTTAGGAGGGCTGTGAGTAATTTTTTTTCTATTTTATACTCACTAGGGAGCTATATAGTTTGACCTATTGCCATATTCCTTTCTTTTTCCCTCATTTTAGTAATAAGTTTAAATTTTAGTTTTCATTCTTCATTTAAACCTCCTGTATATACTTGGGTTCCACTGTGTGAATTAGTTTCATTTTGTTTATTTAAGAAGATACTAACACATTCTTCTGAAGTAATATTGGTCAAAAAAGCATCCTTTAAAGAATGCATTTTGTATATTTAAGGTAATACACACATATGTATATATATATATATATATATATATATCCTTGATAATGGCTAAAAGTATAGCCAAAAGCACTTGGAAAACATTTGTACAATTTTTATATAATATATGTCCTGAAAAGAGAAAAAACGAGCACGAGAAATTATATAAAAGACTCAACCACCACACCTTGTCAGCCATTTTCAAGGAAACTTGTATCTATCTATCTATCTATATATATATATATATATATATATATATATATATATATATATATGATGGATTTTTATTAATACAACAGATTTTTATCACATTAATCTGTTGGATTAATTAAAAGTCCATTGTAAAATTCCTTGTTTATGTTTGGATACAAATTTGGGAGATCTATAACAGGAAAAGTTTTGCTTAAAGCCACAAATTTGATCTTGCCTGACTAACTGTTCTTCATAGCTCAGTTGGTGCTGGGTCTAATTGTAGCTCCCTCTGCCCTGGTGA